TCTTGGATCAACTATCAACACTCACAGAAGCAGCAGTCAAGAAATCAAACGACGTATTGTATTAGGCAAATCTGCTGCACAAGACCTTTTAAGTGTTGAAGAGCAAAGATGTCAGCTTGAAGACTAAGGTGTGCCTGACCCAAGCCATGGCATTTTCAATAACCTCATATACATGTGAAAGCTGGACAGCAAATAAGGAAGATCGTAGAAGAATTGATGCTTTTGAGTTATGGTGTTGGAGGAGAATATTGAAAGTGCCATGGGCTGCCAAAAGAACAAACAGATCCCTTTTGAAAGACGTGCAGCCAGAGTGCTCCTTGGAGGCCAGGATGGCCAAACTCCATCTCTCATACTTTGGACATAGTGTCAGTAGGGACTAGTCGCTGGAGAAGGATATCATGTTTGGTAAGGTGGAGGGTCAGAGACAAAGAGGAAGATCCCCAATGAGATGGACTGGCCAAGTGGCAGCATCGATGGACTCAAGTGTGGCAACAATAGTGAGGTTGGCCCAGTATCGGGTAGTGTTTAGTTCTGTTGTGCATAAGGCCGCTATGAGTCGGTACTGATTCGATGGCACCTGACAACAACAACAACAATGTAGGGTGATACATTAGGTTTGAAACTGTATGACCACAGGGAAGGCAAGTCACAAATTCAAGTCAGACAACAGCAGTCAATTAATTCAAAGTGGAGCATATCACTTCCTGGTGCCTGAAATGATCGGTTATGATAATGAGGGTTATCTTATTGTTATTGTTAAGTGCCATCATGTCAGTTAGAACTCATAGTAATCCTGTATTGGGTTTCTGAGGCTGTAAAGCTTTCCTGCAGAACTGCTGGTGGGCTGGAACTGCCTACCTTGTGGTTGGCAATCTGGTTTATAGGATAATGGCTTATCCTATAGAGCCATTAATTGCCTTCAAGTTTATTTCTAATTCATAGCAATTCTGTATATGGTTTCTGTGGAGCAGCTGGTGGTTTTGAACTGCTGACCTTGTGATCCACAGTCCAGTGCCACATCAGTAGTCCATTGCCCTTATTAGGCACCTCTGTTTTAAATAAAAATTTATTTGGGGGAAGACAGACTCAGAACAGAGAGGCAGAGTCCTGTGCCTCTCCTTACCTTATGTACACACAAGCTTGCCAGCTCACAGGAATCTGGTCCGCCCAGAAATGGGATCTTGCTCCATGGTGTGGTTGTTGTTGTTAAGTGCCATCGAGTCAGTTCCCACTCATAGCAATCCTGTATAGGTGAGTTTGAACCACCGACTTTGCAGTTCAAATCGACCTCGTAGTTTAGTACAATCTCCCGTAGTGCCACACCAGGACTCCTTGGTAGTACCAGAGAAACACTGTCACCATGGAAATCTCTGGACTTTTATTTTCTGCTGTTCAAGGCTAGCCATCCACTCTCATTCTGTCTACACAGACTTTCCCAGAGAAAGAAAAAAACAATCTAGTGGTATCCACTTACTAAATTAAATTCACCGTCCAGTCCTTGTTCCCACAGATAAAGCAATTTTACCTTGTTGAGAGTGCTCAGCATTCCCTTGAAGAGTCAATCCTATCAACCGCATGAGGATTTTTACCAAGAGAAAACATAATGAACTGTCTTACTTTCTGTTTCAAACTAGTTGAAAGAAGCTCACTGTTTCCCTATGCAGGCCATTTTTTTTTTTTTTTTTTTTTACTGTTGCTTCTGCTGATTGCCTGAACGGGTGGATGGGTGCATAGATGGAAAATGACTACATGGGATATGAACAGAATGTGGCAACACTGTGCTGGACATCAGCAGTGACTTGCTCTGGGTCCTTGGTATCTTATTTGGCATCCAAATGATTACCATTGAGTCCTGGTGTGGTGCTGTGGGTTAATGTGCCAGACTGCAAAACCGTTTGAACTACAAGGTTGGCTGTTCGAGCTCACCAGCTGTTCCTCGGAAACCCTATACAGGGTTGCTATGGGTCAGAACCAACTCGAGGGCACTTCACAACAACAACAGCAAGAAATGATTAGAAGGAGGACAATAAAAACTTGGTTTTCTTACATATGTTCATTGTCTCACTTTCAATTCAAGGATTGCAAACTCCAAGAACACTGAGCTTAAAGAGGAGAAAGGGTGGTGAGTCAAAGCAGCCTCCCAGTCTCTCAGTCCTCTTATTAAAAAGTTCACCTTTAAGAATTCAGAGGGTTTAGTACATTTTGGCTTCTTTCAAGTAGTAAATCCGATGCACTCCAAGACAGAGACTCAACTCTGTCCAGATTGACCTTCAGTAATTGACTGAGTTCTATGTCCTTAAGTCCCTGCCTCTGGAAAAAGAGAATATTAATTTTAGCCCTCAGTTGTCCTAGGAATGCTGTAAGGAAAGAGCAACAGCATATGGGATATACTGCAAGCTCCTACAAAGAAAAGTCTATAAATAGATTACACGAGGAAGAGAAATGGGAGGTTTTTTTTGGTCAGTGTCATATTGCTTTTCTTTGTTGTCACTAGATTTCTCTGGTTAAAGTCAACCAACATGCTAAGCAGATATAGGTCATGCTGCTATTTTAAATCAGTAACTAGCTTGAGGATTCTAATTTTGGGGCTTCATTTAGCATAGCTCTGTTTCCTAGAGAAGAACAGAAAATGCAACCGTAAAGGTTCACCTTGTTTAAAAAAATTCAAATAATCCATACCTAGCAAGTCACCCTGGAAGTCAGCATCCCCTCCCCAATCAGCCCACTGTGCAATGCAATTCTGCACGTGCAACATCGCAGCACCTGAGGTGAGCGGCACAAGGTTTGCCTAAAAATGCCCAGGAGCAATCAAAGAAAGCAGCAGCTCCCAGCTGGTCACTGGAATGTGGTCACATTATTCTGAGTATGCAGAAAGCTACATTCTGCAACCAGTGGCGTCCTCATGACAGTGACAGAGCTTTCTCCTGGGTTGTAATGAATTACGATGCTTAAGTGCATCATGTCTTCAGGGAAAAAAACACAAATAAATAGTGCTCTTTCTCTCTCTTTAACATGTGCAATGTAAAAGACTAAACCAAGTGAAACCGTTTAAAAGCTGCCTTCAACCAATTGCTTGTTCTAATGGAACATTTTCAAAATTGTTACAAAAGACATGAAAGAAACGTATAAGCAGAAATGCACAATAGTCTTCTATTACCAGATAGCAGGTTTATCTCCCTTTCCCTTATTCACATTAAGAAAGAAAATACTGCTCTTTTTCAATAGTAATGCTAATATGAAAAGCATCATGTTAAACGTATGTTCTGACGCCTCTGAACAAACCCACACAGCACCTATGCACTGGACTCCAGCCCCGGTACAGTGCCTCACCCACCATGTGGAATATCCTCATCCTATTTCTATACAGAACCACCACATTTCACATGTATGCACCACTCTCCACCCCATCCACATGCACACTGTGATCGCATCTGGCTGGCAAGAATGGGAATGCTGTAACAATGCTCTGGATTTGCGAAATTCATCATGGAAAAGCCAAGAGATGGTTTCCAGATTGAATGGATAGGGCTCATTCTGCCGGCAGGAGTGCCTTTGCTGTAGGGCAGGCTCTGCCCAGCTCTCTGGTTTGTGATCTGCATGTCTAATTACGGAACAGGTTCATGGCATCAGCCGCTTACCTTGCAATGCTGCAGCAGAAGGATCTGCTCGTCAAGCTGTTGCCGCTTGCCTTCTATTTCAGTCTGCCTCTTTCTTTTTTCCTTGAAAATAAAGAGAGAGAAGCTGTAAGGGTGGGTGGGTGTTGGCTCCAGGGATGCTCAAGCAGGAGCAGCAGCAGCAACAACACACATCTGTACGGACACTTTCAGAGTTGCTGGGTACAGTGTACACCCTGTCACCGTCCCCTGCATCTCAGGGTGCTCTGCAAGCAGCAGCATTCTCGTAACATGTCTGCTGTGGGCTCGGTGAGTGGGAGAAATTCTCCTCACTCAGCCAAGCTGCCACAATTTAGTCCAGAAGAAAAGGCGGGTTTTACACGCGCACACACACACACACACACACAGACACACACAGAGCCATGTTCTTCTATGTGGTGTTAATTTGGAGACAAACAATAAAAATGTCTTAATTAAAAAAAATAGAGGTCACTGCAAACTGCAAATATGATAGAATATGGCGTGGGAATTCTACGGTTAGAAACACACCTGCAAATAATTTAATGTAATTTCACATATATACAAAATAGCTTAATGCAATTATCAAACTTCATGCAACCAGCCATTTAACTGGACATAGGAAACAGCAATGCTAAAATAAATGGGTGGTCTTTGCTGAAACTAGCCTTGGAGGTAGTATTTGTTTGGCTGGGCTCACTGAGGAGACAGTAAATATGAAGCCCGGAGTCGGCCTCCCTGGGTTCAACTTTCAGTGCCATGATTTACTACCTATGTGACCTTTAGTAAGTTGTTTTACCTCCCAGTGTCTCTGTTTCCTCATTCAAAAAGCGAAGATAACAGTAGTGTCTAAACCATACAATCAAGGAGCCCTGGTAGCACAAAGGGTTAAGCCCTGGGCTGCCAACAGAAAGAACCCATCAGTGACTCCATGGGAGAAAGAAGAGGCCATCAGTGCCCATAAAGATTGACAGCTTTGGAAACCTTATGGAGCAGTTCTCCTCTGACCTATATGGTCCCTATGAATTGGAATTGACTCAAAAGCATTGGGTTTGGTTTAAACCATAAGGTTTGAGCATAGATTAAATTAGAGAGTGCATGCAAAGGGTTTAGAACAATGTCTGGCACATAATAAGTGCTCAATAAATGCTATTTGCTATTGTTCTAATTGCTGCGTTTTTATTTCCCAATAATGCCTAGAGGTTGGTGTTAAAAAGGGAGATTTCACTTGTATGTATATACACTGTAACCTTTCCACTGCAGTGCATGGGTCATCCTGTTCTTTGTCATACTTTCCAAATGTAGACAAGAAGCATCATATAAATTTGATCGTTTTAAAATAGAAAGGACTGCCATTATGATCGCTAGACAGTTCATGTTTTGTTTCCAAACTACACAGAGTGGTTTTCTGAGACACTCACTGTCTGGATTATTTCCCTGCACTTGCACATGCAGGGAGAAACTTGTTAGACTAGACATAATGGTATTTTACAGCACAACAGCCAAATTCCAGAGAGGATTCTTGAACAATACGGTAGAAGTTTGTGTTATGTGTTAGCCTAAAATCTTATTTTATGTAGTTGCTAACTTTCTGGGGATGTGATAGTACCACTGTTATTCAGATCAATATAATCAGAGTTTGTGTTATAGCCACGTTTTTCTATGCAATGCACAGATTTTAAGAAATTGTATTTTATAATCTTGAGTCACTAAAAAGTAATACCCAGTTTCGGGATACAATCTCCCTGCCAAAGTGAGGCCCTCCCTGTGAATATTTTAGAAGTTTACCATTTACTGGAGAACTGGTATGGCACTGTAGGATATACTAACCACAAGGTCAGCAGCTTAAACCCACCAGCTGTCCTTGAAAACCCTATACAGGGTCACTATGAATAGGAAACAATTTGAGGGCACTTAACAGTAACAACAACATAATCAATATTCCTTTACATCTTACCCTAAGTCCAAGGAGATGGAAAAAAACAAGATACAGTGAGAAAGCCTACCTATGCAGCATCTCAAAGGTATCACATGACTAAGTAGGGAGGGGGAAAGGAGGCATGGTTTGCCTGGGGAACACTGAGTTTATGTTAATGGTGATGGAATAATTTGGAAAAGAACAGTGATAATGGTGCCCCAACATGGAAAATGTAATCAAGGTTATTGGATTGTAAATGAGGAAGTTGCAGATGGCTATATATTTTCACTACAATTAAAAAAAGAGTTTTGCGTGTTTGTAAACAGCAGCAACAACAACAAG